TGTGTGTGTGTGTGTGTGTGTGTGTGTGTGTGAGACTCACGCTGTGTGACTGATGCAGGTGAAATGCAGGTCACTTCAGCATTAAATGATGACTGTTACCATTTATATCTGTATCTGGATGGAAAGGAGCTGCCCTCACTGTGGACCCCGCAGGGCAGAATTCAGCTGAGTGCTGACACTAAAATGCTTGTATTAGCAGTAAAGAGCAGTTAAACTCCATCTGCAGCCGGACTGATGGTTAAATCCTCAGCATCGGCTTAGTTCGGCTTTCAATACGGCCCGGTGACGTCACTGGGAGCCCGTGGCTTCTGCTTCAGCACCACCCACCCATTTTGTGCAGCCTCGCTTTCAGTGGGAGCTGACACAACCTGACACAGGCAGAACGCAGAGGCCATGAGGCAGCGAGAGCCTGGACAGGCTGCCAGGTCCTGCAGAGCACTAACACGCTTTAATTTTCTGGCTGAGTGGAATGTTCACCTGGCTGAAAACAGTAGTAACACACAAACACATTCATGCCGGATTGACAAACCTGTGGCCTGATTCGAACCCGTAATCCTGACAATGTAGGGCCATCCTAAAGGGCCCAGGAGCCACTGCCCCCGGTGGGCTCTCCCCCATCACTTTTAAACACCTGACTGCTCACTTTGGACACCCTGATAGACGTTCAAATTTATGCAAAGACCACTGCATTTAACAGACTATCTACAGAAGAAAAAAGACTGTCGATGTGTACAGTGTATTGAGGATGGCCTGAATGTTTTGGGGAGAGCAGCAAGAATCATGATAAGCTAGTTACCTGTCAAGTATACAGTACCATAAAAACTGATTAGCTGTGATTAAAAAAAATGTTAGGACTGAAGTGGTAATAAACAGGAAGGTATTAATCTGATTCCTACTGTAAGTATAACAAATGTTTAGGTGTTAAAGGTACCTATCGGGAAAATTGCCAATATTTTTCATTTGGAAACACAAACATTTCACAAAACTGGCATTACATCAACTAGACTAGTGACTGCTAACTAATCACCGCATGTGTCGTCAGCCAGTTAGCTAAAGAATGCTATCCTGCCATGCAGGTGTTTACCGAGGGAACTGTTGAGGATGTTCGCAATTCGGCTGTAGTTACCTGACAAGATGAAGAAGATTCCCGAGACGAAGGCCAGGATGGTGCGCTGGGGGCGGATATGTCCAATGTTGCTGATGACAAAGGCAGTGAAGACGAAGAGCAGGGAGACCATGGGGAAGGGCGTAGCTGTCCGCACCATCTCTGACAGAAAGCACGAGAAAGGCCAGAGCATTGAGCTCTATCCGTACTCCTGATTACGGTGTGGAAACATGGCATGAAACACATGCAGCCTCTCACAGAATGACAAAAAGCCAATGTCCATCCCTCCCTCCTGCATAACTGCTTATCCAGTAAAGGGTTAGAGTAAGCCTGCAGCCGATGCCAAGGAGCACAGGGCATAAGGCGGGGGACACCCTTGCCAGGATGCCAGTCCATCACAGCGCATGGCCAGGGGACACCCTGGAAGGGATGCCAGTCTATCAAAGACACAGGACAGGGGACACCCTGGATAGGATACCAGTCCATCATGGGGCACAAGGCAGGGGGACACCCTGGATAGGATACCAGTCCATCATGGGGCACAAGGCAGGGGGACACCCTGGATAGGATACCAGTCCATCATGGGGCACAAGGCAGGGGGACACCCTGGATAGGATACCAGTCCATCATGGGGCACAAGGCAGGGGGACACCCCTGACAGGATACCAGTCCATCACAGGGCAAGGGACACCCCTGACAGGATACCAGTTCGTCAAAGAGCACAAGGCAGGGAACACCCTGCACGGGATACCAGTCCATCACAAGACAAAAGGCTGGGGACACCCTGGATGGGATACCAGTCCATCACAGGGCAAAAAAAACCCCAAGATGCAGCTAAATCTATACTCCGTTATCTGAGTGTAACTGGTTCCTAGAAACCACCCAGATAGCGTGAACTGGAATATCATGAAACTATTTCCATTTTTTTTTACGGGGAAATTGTAATTTGTTCCAGGTCCATCCAAGAAGCTCTAATTAATCTCTCAAAAATATCCCTGACACTCCTGTTTCAGCACGATAAAGAACACTGTAAACACCAATTACTTAATCATTAATGAGAGAATAAATATGTATTTGTGTATAGGTATTTATGTTTATGTACATTCTTTGCAGTACCATCTGAAGTCAGAGATGCAATAGTCACATTTACATAAAAACGAGAGACTAAAACAATAACATTTACCTACTGTAGGTTGTTACTGTAATGTTATTGAAACATTTCTCTGAGTGACTTTGCTGTCCTCAGAATCCAGTAGGATATGAGCATTAATATATATGATATAATACACACATGCACAGACATTAATATGTACAGCTCACTCAGCTTAAGTGCCAGGGAATAGGTGTAGTAAATGTATTTGCTTGTGCCTGTGATGGGAAGGTTGCCTGTTTAAATCCTGTGGATGGCAAAGTGATTTCACTGCTGGGCCTCGGAGTGAGACCCTTCACCCCAGAGGCTCTAAGGACCAGCTAGCCCTACTGTATCTCCATTCTCTGTCGCGCTGCATAAAAGCACTTGCTAAATGAACAAAGGTAGAAGGAAGTTACATGCTTACTCAGTATATTAGCTGTATTTTCCGTGGTAATCTCGATTTCTGGCTCCGTGAAATACTCGGAAGCGACACACCTCCCCTTCTCACTTCCTGGTGTAAAACGAGAGAGTGCAGCTTTCAGAGTAATCCACACAGACATGGACACACACCTGCATATACATGCATGAGTACCACACAATACAAGCACACACAAGTACCTGCATACACACACATGCAAAACCATACACACACAAGTACATACACGCACACACACTAATGAGTACCTGCGCGTAACACCTGCACACAAACACCTGCATATGTACACAGCCTTCAGACTGGCAGGGCGGAGAGGAGAGGAGCTCACCTGCCACGAAGCAGACCCTCCACAGGCCTGCGTGCAGCGCCATCTTCACCTCCAGGCTCTGGTTCTGCTGCAGCACGATGCCCTCCTCCATCAGCAGCCAGTAGTCAGTGGAAACGGCCACGCCCACCAGCAGCAGGCCGCAGGCCCCGAACACGGAGGAGAGCAGCGTGAGCGCCCGGCTGCTGCACGAGCTCATCTGGGGGTGGGGCAGCAGAGAAGAGCCCGTCAGCACCGTCACCGCTGGGGGGCGCCGCTCCCCCGCCGCCATGCCGGGCTCCGGCTTCAGTGTGTAAACACTGGTGTGGACCATCTGTCTCGCTGCGAGGAGAAGCCGCCACACGGTGACGTGACGCGTGAGTGTAGAGAGCCGCTCGCTGGAGCAGGCGGCAGAGACAGCGGCGGCACGAGGCCAGATTGCCAGCAAGTCTCAGCATCTCCAGCGCAGGTGACGACGCCACAGTGACACCAGGGTACAAGCTGGAGGAAAACCTTCATGATGAAGCAATCGTCAACATCTGTGTCCTTCATATGGAGAGGCACAGATACTGGGGAAGTCATCTGTCTGTCTGCCTGTCTGTCTGTTTGTCTGCTTGTCTGTGTGTCTGTGTAGATATATATGCATATACCTATAAATTACATAAGTATTCAAAATGAAGCTCATTTGCCACTTAGTACCACCTGCAAACAGTTGCAACTTGTCCCTAGAGCCTTGTGGAAAAACGCATTTCTTTTCCAGTGAATGGTAAACTAATGGTGAACAGTGCTTTGTGTGGGAGGAACAGAAGTCAGAGGAACAGCTAGGAGGGAAAACATTGGGAGAAAGAAGCATGGAGGGGGGTGTTGTCTGAGATGTTGGAGCTGTTCGCCTTGGCGGTGCTGAAAAGCTCTGACGAAATGAGTCGGTGAATAAAAGAGAGCGAACGCGGCCGTTTCTCTGCCTCGCGCTCACAGTCTGAGGGCTTTTGGTTTTCTGGCAATTTTTGGCGTAACAAGAGACCTCGATTTCACACAGGAATTACAGCGTACGTCTTTAAACAACACTACTACAGGTCTCTTTCATATGAAACAAAATCTCACCTTCACAATAATTCCAAGTAAAATATATTAAGTAAAACATTTTTTTTAAATCTAATAATATAATCATCTAATAATAATCGATTATTAATTGTTTAGAAATGAAAAGAGTAAGCAGCAATGTGATATGAAAACTGCATTAAGGTGAACTGTTTGAATCTTGGAAATAAACCTTCTGTTTGCTAAATTTAGGAGTAAAGTTATTATTATTAGTTATTTTTATGATGGCTCCCTGTCAGCTCCCACAGTGAACTAGGCAGCCTTACAGTGTCATGCGGGACATCGGAATGATGCGGATTTATTTGTCATATATTAAATACATCTGTCAGGAGACGTAGGTCAATGAAGGAAAACGGTAGGTCAGATATTACTATAGGGGAAAATGCAAAAAAAAAAAAACAAAGAAGAAGAAATCGAAGGAATCGCCAGAAATATCATGGATGCTACTTTCGGGAAAGACCTTGGCCCAAATATAGGGGTGAATATAACTATAGACACCGTACACACACACGATTATTTTGTGTTAATACTGGAAAGTGTTAAAACATTATAATAAACCTGACCCCTCCCACACACGGCAATAAAGCAAACACAACTGAACACAGTAAAGAAAAACTGCACATATGCAGGCAAAGGTCACACACAGAGACGCACACACGCACACACACAGCAGGCTTAAATGACAAACTTAAAATCGGACGCGCAGTAAACGAGAACTAGCGTTTGACACGCACAAGCACGCAAAGATGTAACACACACACACACAAATGTACGTACACGCATAAACACGCGAACACACACACAGACACACACACACAGATAGACACACGCACACAAACTGACGCCTGGCACCAGATATTAAAGTAACCTGTGCTCCATGCAGAAGCTCATCTTCTAATAGCCTCCATTGCCTTCGCCACACTTATTGCACACCGTGTTCATAACATCTCTCTGCAAAGCTACTCATTTCCATTTCGTTTAAGGGCAAATGCGGAAGAGCCAGTTTTGTTACAAAGGAAATTGTGGCGATCTTGATAAACTTAACAATGAATGATAATAATTGTTCAATAACCTCCTGTCACATTCGTACTTAAAGACGGATAGTAGAATAGAAGCGAGATAAAACACGTAAAGGAAATTTATTACGCAGCGACTCATTCCTGATGTGAAGAACACGTATAATATCCATATATGTATATGCCAAATCTGTGCCTAGAATACTGTCTTTTTTACCTAATGTGTTCAACATATTTTCCATTTACCGACATTCTACAGCCTGATAAACGGGCATTTAATAAATGTGCTGTACATAGGCTATATACCCCTTACAGTGTAATTAATGTAACATTGATTAATGAGACATGAATATCAACTGGAATAATAAAAATAGTTAATAAAAATAATCGTGCCCTCACCTTTAGAGGAAAGCCTCTGAATGGTGCGCTCGCTGAGAAATGCCGAGACCCTCGCTTGAGGGACGCTTGGTGGATTTTGCAGTTCCTTGCTACTCTCTCTCTCTCCCTCTCTCCCTCTCTCGTGTGCGCGTAACACGCCCCCTTCCTCTATCTCTCTCTCCCGGCACTGCGGAGAATTAGTCGAAGGAGCCATACTATAGACCAAGAATATAAAGGGGGAATAAGCACAGACGGGCGAGCGAGAGGAGGGGAAACAGGCCTACTTGACAGAAAATCACAAGAAACGGAGGAGAACTTGACAGCGACAAAGCAGAGGAATGTAAGGGAGAAGATAAATGAAGAAGGTGACTTGACTGAGCGTGGCAAACATAAAGAGACGACTGGAAATTTAGAAAGTAAAAAAATAATAAAGTCAAATATTCTCAAACAGTATCACCCTCATGTTTAATGCGCCAACGCTCATTCTTCCCTAGAAAATATGGAAATAATTGACAGAAAACAAAGAGAAAATATATAATATCCAAACTTTTGAGAACACAAACAGCATCTTGTACAAAAACACACACACATTAGAATTAGTTTATTAATTTACCGGACCATAGTAGCCATGCATGGATTGAATATAAATATGCTATAAATTAAACAGCCAATAATTGTTAAATTATGTATCAAATTACACAGTATAAGCATATTCCTCCTCAGTACATAACCCGAAAATGACAAAGGCAGATAATTATAATGAATATATATTTTTTTAAATGTACATGTATTAACCAGGGAAGATTAGAATGGCACGTTCTCAATCCTTGCTATCCCCCTTTTTCCGCTCCTGCCACACACACTCCCCCCAACCCACATAGCTATTTTTAGAACTGTGGTGGGGAAATCCTGTATTTTTAGCAACGATAATAATAGCAACTTACGCGCAAACCTTGACCTATACGGAAGAGGACAGTGTAATGCGCGTCTTATTAGCATATTAGACATTTTGCGATTTCCATGTACGCGCGTTTGCAGCGATCTTCACAAGACCAGCAGTGATGAATTTAGTGCTGTAGTGGAACATGGTGCAGTGCTGTGATCGCTACTGAACTGCTTTCAGGGAAAATCATTGACAGGTATCTTTCCACAGACGTATATATGTCTGCCTTAATGTTTAAAAATAAATAATGTGTACGCTATTCCAGGTGAAGGCTACAGTACCAGTATGCCAAGCAGGTCAGACCAGACCGCTTTTTTCCAAAACCACAGGCTCTAACTTGTCCCAGGGGATCCCTCTAAATTCCCAAGCAGGCTGGGAGTTATAGTCCCTCCGGCATGTGCTGGGTCGGCCCCCAGTCCCCAGCCTGGAGGGAACATGTCCAGAACAGGTCCCTCAGGAGCCGACCAGGCGGCATCCTTGTAAAAGGCCCACACCACCTCAACCGGCTGCTCTCGATTTGACAGAGCAGCATCTCTATTTCGAAGTCCCTCCAGTTCTCTGAGTCTGACAGCCCTGCAGAGAAACCTTATTTCAGATGCTGGTACTCGCAACCTTATTCCTGCAGTCATTACCCAGAGCTCTTGAGCTGAGGTGAGGATAAGGACGTAGACTGACCGGTAAACCGTGAGCCTCAGCTGACAGCTTAGCTCTTGCCTCGGCACCACACACTTGTTCAGTGTCCCCAGAAACGCAGGGACAAACCACCTGCCTGTCAATCTCACGTTCCCTCTCCTCTTCAGAGAGGTCAGAGTGTATTTGTTCATATTGGTTTTCTCCTAGTACAACTATGACAGCGTCAGAGGGGGTTGGAATAAAAGGAACAAAACAAAAACATTCAGCAGGAAATATAAGGAACAGCAGAAAAGAGCAAGAAAAATGGTTAAGAAAAGTTGTGAAAATGATTCTTTACTTGCTGTTGGCACACTTGAATTGGAATGCTTATCCTGTCATGCTCCCCTTTGAGACACAAACATATATATACAGCTGAGAGAAAAGCTTGGAGTCTGAGCACAGGACCCAATTATCAGGTGTCCCTGAAGCATGTCAGGCAGTTAAGGGCCCAGTGGAGATGTGAGTATTCTGCAGAGGTCAGAGGTCAAACCACTGACCATCTGACCACAGGCACAGTGGACTAACCCGCTGATAAAAGAAGCAGGTATGGGGGCAAACTACAGTATATCTGGGGTAGGAGGGGGGTGAACATGAGGGCTTTACAGTCACCCCCACAGGGCCCCGAGAGCCAGGATGGGGGTGGGGGGATCGAATGACTGAAAAAAGTGCTGTTTCAACAGCCTCGAAACCAAGTGGTCAGCATATTTCATGCAGAAGATGGAAGAAGGGAGGGGTACTAGTGATAAAAAGGAGGGGAGGAGGGCACAAAATGATAAAGGCAAAGCATTCAGGTGAGCAGAAGGACAGAGAGTGTGAGGATGAGAAAACGGAGAGATGGGGGAGAAATTTCAGAAAGAAAGGTGGAGATGGAGCCGGGGGCTGAGCAGAAAGAGTCACCAGGATATGGCAGCGTTTCCGAGCAAACAGAATAAAGAACAGTGTTTCCAAACAAACAGAACACAGGACAGTGTTTCCAAACAAAGAGAACACAGGACAGTGTTTTCAAACAGAACAAAGGACAGTGTTTCCAAACAAATAGAACACAGGACAGTGTTTCCAAACAAACAGAACATAGGACAGTGTTTCCAAGCAAACAGAACATAGGACAGTGTTTCCAAACAAACAGAACATAGGACAGTGTTTCCAAGCAAACAGAACATAGGACAGTGTTTTCAATAAGGTTTATTAGGCTTTTAACTGCAAAGACATAAAATAAGATCTCAAATTACTCAACAAAGTCCTCTACTTCTTCAAAAGCATCAGTCTAATCTTATATGAAATAAATTGCATATACCATGATACTATATATATAAGCCTATAATTTTATTTTTCTTATGAATTAACAACTGCCTCAGCAAAGGGTCTATTAAGGGGCTTCATGTCACAATTCATCACCAGCAGCACACTCAAGCATTAAACGCCAATGTGTCGCACTTCCTTGTGCATTCATCCCCTGTCACATGTCTCCGAAGCACATTTTCCCTCATGCTCAAAATTCAAGGTCAAAGGTCAGGGTTAAGGCTATGCAGAGGAAGGGAAACAGGTCAGTGCATCTCGTCTGGGCATCTGCCCTGGTTCTGCACTGAGCACATTCTGTGGATGACCACTGCAAAAAAGATACAGTGACTTGAGTCAAGCTGTGAAGACCAGCAAAGACCAGTGTGATGGTTTGATGAAAGCGTGCCAGTTTAGCACAGTTCTGACACACACAGGAATGACAAGATGCTTTAAAAAGTAGCCCAGGCCGCATCGCAGAAATACTACGGAGAGCAAGGAGAACCATATGCAGCTTCGTCATGGACTGAAACCGCAGGGCGTTAAATGTCATTGGTGTTTTTGAGGTGGGGAATGGATGCTTGCTATGCTAGTCAGGTACAAGAAAAAGCAAAGAGTGCCTGAGGAGCTCAGGGGTCTATAAATACTGCACATTGTAGGACTTTCAAATGCACCTTCAGCACAAGTTGGAAATATTACATATGAAGGAACCATCAAATTCTACCAGTCTAACACAGCCTCTAGTAAACTGATTTTTACAATCATTTCCCCCAGATCTAACCACAATAATAAGATGAAATTACTTATGTTTATTATAGTATCATAATCAGTGTAATGATTTACAAATGTCAAGGACAAATAGACAAAAGTCTTCATCAGAGTTCTGCTGATGCAAGTATTTTAATTCTCTACAACCCTATTAGCTTGATTAGCTAAGTTTTAAATGATATGCTGGGTGCCGCCATCAGTATTGTTACGATTTGTTCAGTGAAAATCTTTTTTAAATGGCAGGCTTTGCCAAAAGTCTCGTTCTGATATTTACGATCCCTGTGGCGCCTTCAGCGAGTTGTGTTAGTCTGAGCATGTGTGCCGGGCTAATATCTACCGCTTGTGGTCGGCTTCTCCCCAAAACTGCACATTTACTGCAAACTCATACACTCACATTGTTCAGAAATAAGTTTGATTGGCTTTTTGACATGCAGTTTGTTGTCCTGCATTCGCAGACTCACAGCCTTCCTCTCACAGCGGTTATGGTTTGCCGTCAGGATAGTTAAGAAAGCGCGCAGTTGGAAGGCATGAAGGCTGTCATTTAGATAAGCCATGGGAATTGTGGGTAATAACAGCACAGTTGGGGCTTGACTCTACATAAGAGATGGGGAAGCACAATTAAAAATCCAGATTAATTCTGTCGTAAATGTAAATACACCCCCAGCTATTGAAACTGAAAAATGTGAACAATATCTACCTGCTAAATGAAATATAAAATGCATGCTTTCTACATATTATTATCTGATATAGCTGATTTCACATGGTCTGTGTAGGTATTTTGACCTATGACTGTGTATAACCTGTGTAAGCTGTAAGTTTGACTCATTGCCCTGCAAGAGTGTCCTCAGCAGCCGCCAGCCTGCACTCCTGGAACACCCTCTGAAGCTCAGACGGCGGTGAGAGGAGACGTGGGGTAGTCTGTGTTGATGAAGGAGAAGCCCCGGAAGTCCTCTTGATCGATCGCGGCCAACACATCAGGGTCAGAGGGCGTGAGGGCCGAAGGGGCGGCGGTGAAAAACTTATCAAAGTTCTCCCCCTTCCGACCACCCTAAGAAACACAGAGACAGGAAGAGAGCTCCTTTTACAAAGTGGGCTCTGGGTTGCGAAATGCAAAGGCTATAACAGAGACCAGCAAATCTAACCACTGACTGCCTTTGCTGAAAGTGTATTTTCATGAAAATCCATGAGGAGAAGTCACATTCAGCTACATTGCAGCATTTTGAACTGGCACACTAATCCTTTGGTGCAGTGCAACACCCATAACTGGTACACTGGTACTATGGTACAATGCAGCACCCATAATTTATACACTGGTGCTATGGGACACTGAAACACTGGTACACTGAAAGGGTGAGGTCTCAGTACTAACAGTGCGAGGCTTAAAGGGGGGCTGAACCTCCAGTCTCTCAAGTCTATCCCAGTCAATCCAGCGGAAGAAGGGATGCTCTCGAACTTCCCGCTCTGACTCCTCTCCTGCACCCAAACGTTTCATTGGGTTTTTGGTCATGAGCTGAAACAAAAAGTAGATGAAAGGTCTGCAAGAGGGGTGGAGTTTAAGTTGGGGAGGGTACTGGGGAAAGGAGTGCTGCTGTGATTACATCCACATTATCACTGTTTGAGTGACCTGAGTTGTTTACAGATCTCAGGTTCGGCAACTCAGATTTGGACTTGAATTTGAGGACTAGTGACTTGAACCCAGATCTGATTCCACTTTGTTATATTGTTGATTGTTATAACTGCCCCTAAACTATGGCCCATGACCAAATTAGGCCCTGGGACAATTTCAGCAATACACAATATTTCAACATTATACACACGGATGAGCCAAAGCACTATGGCCACCCTCAGGTGACGTTTGTAACAATGGTGTGTGTCAGGGTCTGGGGTATAATAGACGGTAAGTTATCATTTGGAACTTGCAGTTGACTTGCTGAGTGCAAGGATAAAGATCTGAATGACTGAAGGGCTAAATCATTTTGACCAGACAACTGAGTCAGAATATGTCCAAAATGGAAAGGCTTGTGCGGTGCTCAAGCTCAGCTGTAGTGAGTGCCTATTGCGAGTGGTCCGAGGAGGGAAAAACTACAATCTGCTGACAGGGTGCTGGGTGGCCACTAGGAGTGTAACAGTACACATATTCGTACTGAAAATGTTCTATACGGGTCTTTTGGTTCGGTACGCATATGTACCAAACAGATGCAGTAAATGCGGAACCTTTGTGTTTGAGTGTTTCCTCCGAGCAGCATTCAGAAAAGGGTGGATGAAGCTGCACCACTACGCATGAGTGTGTACGTCCTAATGTGGATGGATATTTATTTTGTTAAGCTTTGTATTTTGTGAGACAATATTTGTGTTGCACAGTTCTAATATGAAGCTGAAAGCTGCTAATGTGAATACAGCACAGTTTTCTAAATGTGCACCATAATGGATATTTTATTTTATTTTTATTTACTTGAGAGAATGATTATTTTGATTTACTTTTAAGTAAATTTTTGTTTTTTAGGTTTCAGCAGTATTGACAGAGACTTTTTATTTAAGAAAGACAGTGTTAAATGAAGAAAAACAGAAGCAATTAATGTTTTGTTTCCTTTATCCCTGCTGTATTGAAAACGTAACGAACCATGATTTTTGTGCACCCTTACACCCCTAGTGGCCACGACTCATGGGTGTGGGATGTGAACTAAAGCTAACCTGTCTGGTACCAACAAACAGAAGGGTTACTGTGGCACAAATACCAGGCAATTTTAATAATGCTCACGGGAGTGATGTGTCACAATACACGCACATTGAGCCCTGCTGAATATGGGGCGGCATAGCCACAGGGTAGTTAGTGTTACAGTGGGGCATCACAAAGGAGGAACAATCCACGGCGCGGTTCCAACAAACTGAAGACTTCATTAAACTCAAAAAGAACACACAGGGGGAACCAGAAAAGTAAGGGGAAAGTAAGCTAAGGCATGGAGCAACACTGGGAACAACAAGACCAAGGGTAGGTAGGAAACTACAAGCTAATGTGGGGTAACTATGACTAAGAAGCACACAGCAACACAGGACCAACACTGCTACAAACATGCAGTAATAGCAACAACTGACTGAGGAATAAGGCAGGTACAACTAACAAGGGGCAGCTGTGGGGTATAAGAACTAGAGGCAATGAGGAACAGGTGAGGTTAATTAACAGATACAGAAGGTTCAAACACAAAAGGAAACAAAAACAAGGAAAGCTGAACATAATACAACCAGGGGGCAAAACAAGGAACCACACAGAAATACATAAACAAGTAAAACAAGAAATAAATGGTTACTTATTAACATGGATGAGTCTGGCTTCTGATCAGACTCAAACCCACATCAACGAAAGGAAAGTCAAGACACTGGCTGACCCCTTAGCCCATCAAGCCACACAACAGCCCAGGGGATACGGAGACACACTAGGAGGTAATGACATTGGGATGACTAGCAACATCTGCTGGCCACTAGGGGAACTGACATAACAAAAAGGGCAGAACAGGGACCAGTCCTGTGGCCTGTATGAAGTGGGGTTACTAGCTTATCGGGGTAACTTGTCAGATTTAAGGTACCACCGTTTAAATGGACTTCATATTCATTTACTTACATTTTGCCCAGACTACCTTAAATCCGACAAGGTACCCCGATAAGCCAGTTACCCCGGTTCGTAGTACAGGCCCCTGACAGAGTGCCCATGCTGACCTCTGTCCACCTTTGAAAACACCTACAATGGGCGAGCATCGAACCTGGATCTTGGAGCAAAAGAAGAAGGTTGCCTAGTCTGATGAATCCCATTTTCTATTCCATCATGCAGTCAGCTGGGTGTGTGTCAAGCATCTGAGGGATGCATTAGACCAGTGTTTCTCAAACCAGTCCTCAGGGGACCCCCAGACCGTCCGCATTTTTGCTCCCCCGCAGCTCTCAGGGAATTGGAAGAGAGTAAAAACGCGGACCATCTAGGGGTCCCCAAGGACTGGTTTGAGAAACACTGTGGTAGACCAACAACTTCAATTTGTGGCTAGGTAGCCTAAGACAGCAGAGCTTGATCCACTGTGTGGTCTTTATCAGCCCCTTTATCAGTCTTTATGCCTGCCCATTTCTTCTGCGTTCGACAGGTTGACCACAAGTACCGAATGCTAGGTTATCGTCTAATACATTCCAGACCTTGTCATGCACAATTTTTATGAGATGGTTAATGTTTATCACATGATGTGGCCTAGTCATCGGTGTGTATAATTATGTAACTCCACAAATTGCGATACTAATAAGTCCATCTTACCCCCCTGCAGATGGACACAGCCTCACGAGAGAGATTCTTGGGATATGACACATTCTGCTCCAGGATGGACTGGAACAGCTCCTCCTCATCCAATCCATCAAAGGGAGGCTTGGTGGTGGTGGTGGTGGTGGTGGTGGGGTGGGGGGGGGGGATAGGAGCAAACGAAAGCAAATGAAGGGAATTCCACGAGGAGAGCATCTCGAGGGGGTAAGAGAGTGACTCGCTGAAAGACCGCAAGAAAAGGAGACCAGGGGCTTTCCGGAGCAGGAAGCAGCCCACAGTGACGGAGGTGTGGGCTTTACCTGTCCAGCTAACATTTCGTAGAGCAGCACCCCATAAGACCACCAGTCTACAGCTTTCCCGTAAGGCTGGTAGGCCACAATCTGAAGGAGAAGGTGTGAGATCATTCCTTAGAGCACACAAATGTAGTGGAATGAGAGAGAAGGGAACAAAGAGCATTTAATGCGCCACATGATGAGACAAGTCACGACAATATATTAATACTGACAAAGTGTGGGAAAGACAGAGAGATAAAAAAGGAAAGGTTGAGAGAGAGAGAGAACAATTTATCTCTTGCCTCCAGGGAAAAATATTGTATCGCTCTCAAAATGACATGAACAAGAAAATCAATGCTTATTTACATAATAAAATCAATGTCGCAGAATGTAATGGTGAGGTTACCCACAGCACCCTGACATGCCCTGTCCTCACAACACACCACACAGATACACACAAACACACACAGCTAAACACAAATGCAGCAGAGATATTTGACCAACAGGTTTACCACCTCATGTACAGGCCTATATTCATATTCTTGGAATGGACTTATTATAAATTATTAGGTTATAGTTTGGATTTTCTAACTTTAATGTTTTATGCAAATTCACAGTAAAAGATCAACAAAGATCTACTCATCTACAAATTCATCTACATCAACAATGGAAACAGTGTCTTACCATGTCTTTAAACACACATATATATACTGTATATGTACTCCAACAGACTGTTCAATACTGCATGGGATAGACTCCAGCAACACCACGGTGTCCCTGGCTTGGATAAGCAAATGGAGGATGGATGGATGGATATATGACACAATTAGCATCTCATTCAGGACAGGGGTCAATTCTGTTTTTTAGGAACTGAACCAGAGCAAACTCTTATTACATATGAGAATGGATCCTTTAAACCAGGTAGTGTTAATTAGACTATGGAAGCTCTGCTGTGTTCCTATGAATAGGGTTTGTGGAGGCGTTCATACAGCACACACAAAAACACATGTACAGTTGCCCTAACTCCCACTTTTTAACAGTAAGACGCAAGCCACATTCCAATAAAACTCATAAATTAAGAAAGAAAAATATATGAAACAATAAAAGAACTGACGCTTTCCTTTTTCAGAATGTATGAAAATATAAAAACTTTGTTTTGTAAGGATTAGTTTCATGATTTTTAAACCTTTGAAAGAACATCAGAAAATTTGACTTCACACAGTCCAAATATACACCGTAGCACACAACACACATAAAGATGCAGTACACATACACACAGGGCGAATATACACAGTAAGACACATGCAGAGGTGGGACCTCAGGGGCGATATAGTCGGGGGTGCCACAAAAGGTCCGCGTGGAGTCTCCTTCCAACATCCCCTCTCTGCACATGCCGAAGTCTGCGATCTTGATGTGACCTTCACTGTCCAGTAGCACGTTGTCGAGCTTCAGATCTCTGAGCAGGACAGACAGCAACAGACAATCGAGCAAGACGTACAATACAGGGAACAGTGTGTGCAGTGTGTGCAGTGTGTGGACTGAATATGTTGGGGGTACTATGCCGACACAGTGCAGTGGATGTACCACAGTAATAGGAAAAACTGCAGGAATATCACTAACAGAGATATGTGGATGCATCACTAAGACAGTATGGGATGTGGCTCACTGAGTGTACTGGATGTCCTTCACTAACAGTGAGCACTGGATGTGTCTCACTAACAGAGAGCACTGGATGTGTCTCACTAATAGAGTACTGAATATCCTTCACTAACAGAGAGCACTGGATGTGTCTCACTAACAGAGAGTACTGAATGTCCTTCACTAACAGTGAGTACTGTATGTGCCTCACTAACAGAGAGTACTGAATGTCCTTCACTAACAGTGAGTACTGTTTGTGTCTCACTAACAGAGAGTACTGGACCAAAATCGCACAGAAGAGACTGAAACATGGGCTGAAACATGGACTGCATACTTTGGATAAATACCTGTATATGATCCCTTTATGATGAAGAAAGAAGAGGCCGACAGCTATCTCTGCAGCATAAAACCTGGAGAACATAAGGTTACCATGACAACGGCATCACTAGAATGATTTTTGCATATTTAATTAATCATGTGTTCGGACAGAGAGGCATTCACAAACAGCCTGAAATGGGTCGGGGTCTGGGGGGGGGCTTCTTACTGCCAGAGTTTGTAAGCTTTACTTACGCAGCGTGTGGCTCTTTGAACTTGCCCACGATCTGGATGTGGAACATCAGGTCACCCCCGTTGACATACTCCATCACGTAGTACAGGCGGTCCTGTGGCATGGGCAGCACCATCACATCCCATGCACACAATACCCTCAACAACAGCCGCATTCCACATCCCAAATACCACTGTTCCCATCACCCTAATCAATAATCTAATGTATCACGGGTACTCTGGGGATCCACCAAGTAAGAGGATTTCCCACCAAAGAGTAATATTGTCACAAACTGAAGTATTATAAATGGTATCTCAGGGTCATGAGTAGTCAGTTTAACAGAAGGACTCAGTTGGCAGGAGTTGCTGGGACATTTGGTCCAAAGAGCAATGCGTAATCTTTGGCTTGGAGAGCGCCATGGCTCATGCCCAGCCCTGGAGACCCCACCTGGTCATTGGGGCGAGAGCCTCCCAATTAGAACATTATAAAAAGACACTGGAAGTGCTGGTTTGAACCTCTGACAGAGTAGCTCAAAGCTGGCGTTCTTAGAATAAGCCAGGATTTGGTTGTGCTTAGTCCAGAATAAAAATAGTCAGTTTCACAATCGTTATTAGCAAACTTAAAATTTTAAATCTCCTCATTTACTGTATATGACTATACACAGGCTTATTCAAACCTGCAAATGCATAGGGTTAAGGCTTAAGGTTTTGAAGAGAAGTCAAGCCATTGAAGCTTTTGATGATATAATGTGTCCAATTAGCAGAAGTGAAGTGAAGCCCTTCTCTAATTACCACAAGTGGAGTGAAATCTTCTTCTTAGTAGAGTGAACCGTCAAATGCCGTAAAAACTCTTATTTCACAGGGTGCAGAAATGCGAATGCAAATGATTGAAGTGTACGTGAATCGTAGTCCTTGTATGCATCTGCAGATACGCATTGCGCAATCCGTTCCTGTCAGACGTGAATTCCAAACCCATCCCATTAAATAACAGTCCCCACATTACCCCTCCAGAACTGCTAATGATCTTGTTATGAAATAAAGCTAATTAATGAATTCATTAAAAACACATCTGGGTCAGCCTGGACAACATAATTAAGGAAAACAGTTTTTTTTTCCGACAGATTTTGACCAAAAGCGTGCGGGTATTTATAGACGTGCCTGAATCTGCACATCCCGTTGTCAGCTCACCAGGGAAGGAGGGACAGCTTTCATCATGTCTTATTTCACTAGCGAAACAATCTGCTGCCTATCTGGTGCTCCTGAAAAGCAGGAGGTGTGGAGAAGCTGCGAAAGCTCTAAGAGAACGATGCCACGGTCAGCTCTGTTAGACCACTTGTCGTGTTGCGTTTCCTGTACATTGAGATAAAAATCCAATATGAGCACATGATGCTGAAATTAGCTGATGACACTCCTTAACAGCATATTGTCGTTCACGTGGCCTTCCTTCGGGACACGGGCACCGTTCGGCGGAATTGGCACGGACCGGAGCCCTGGGGAAATGCCTGCCCATGGGGAGTGGTGACCCGTAGGTGTGTGACTCAGTCTGTGCATTTGGCGAGCTCCGTGAAATGCACCATGACGCTGTGTTAGCGTCTGTGCCGTGTCTCCTGTCTCTGCACAGCACAGCCCAGCATGTTCATGCTGCTCCATCGTGTTCAGCATTGAGTCAGTCTTCAAATCTGCATCATGTACCTTAGATGCCTCCACCGAACCATATGTAACTTCCTGCAGTTATCTGAACAGATGTATACTTGTATAGTTCCTGCAGGGCAGCTTCACATTAGGGTGATTTGCTTGTTTGTTTATGCATTTGCCCCTAATCATCATGTTCATGTGCATTTACATTTTCATGCATAACACCACCACCAGGAAAATTTCCACATACATTTCTGTTGGTGCGCTTGGCATATTAAACTGATCCTGATTGATTTGTACATCTTAAGATGCACTTGGGCACTTCATCAGTGATTGTATCTGGGTCATAGGGTGTTCTGGTCTTTCAGCAATCAAACATCCTTGCCGAGGGTTGATCAGACCCCAGCTTGTGTCCACGAGGCATGTGTGGTCCATGGATGCCCCTTTTGACGCACTCCCATCCTGAGGCCTTCTCTGCAGCCATTGTGTTGTCTATAATGGTTTTCCTTCCCTGCTGCCCTGTGCCCTGAAGGCCCTATCAGAAGATTGCTCTGAGTAGCTTCTGAATCTATCAACCATACCTCTGGCACTTGGCTACCAGGTCCTCATGTTTGACCCTATTCCTCTCATTCCCTAAGAATGGCAGCTCCAACTGTGAACCATTTGTCTTTCCATTTTGGACATCATGACCAACATCTGGCCTAAGCTTAGTTTCTGTAATGGATTCTGGGAATTTGAATTGCTTCCCCAGAATGACCTTCAGCTGTCAGCTACCTGCAGAGCCCAACTGTTACTTTTCACTGCACCTGTGGCTCCCCCCCTGCTTTGACAAATCCAATGGCCTTCTTTGCTGGGTTGTGCTCCTTGCTCTCACTGATTCCCTTCCACTGATGCACAGATCATGTTGTCACTGTCAGATCATCTATAAATGCACTGATGGAGCACTGTTGGACACCACACTTAGTCAGCAGGTCTCTGCACTCCACATCTGCTGACAATTTCACTAGGAACGGCAAGTAGGATCACTCAAATGGTACATCCAGTAGTGTTCCCCTTCTCCAACCAATGTCATGTTGATGTGATTTCACAAGCAACACTCAGATTGAAGCAACTGTAATAATGAATGAGATCCCTGGTCTTGCCTCGCACTTGGTGCCAGTTCAGTGTAATTTTCACCAGTTTGTGGAGTATAGAGACATAGGCCTAGTCCAGCCCCAAAACTGCCAGACCTCTTCTGCCTTCTCACACCTCTCATCACGAGGTGATGATCCCTGTGTGCTTGATGTTTCATGGCACCCTCGGGATCCTGCCATGAGGTGTCAGTGTAGGAGTTCTTCAGGGGGTACACTGTCAGGCTTTTGGCAACAAACACAGCTTTCAACACAGAAGTGATATTGTGCAGGTTAGCTTGATGTTCCTTGAATTTTCTTCCTGTATTCAGCCTTCCTCTGTAAATCTCCACTGCAGAGCTACCCCAGCTCTCCTCCAGGTCACCTTGAGGATCTTCCATAATCAGTGCAAGAATTTAGGGCACCTCTTGTATACCTTGTAGGGCACTCCCCTACGGTTAGGGGCTGAGTTTAGTCTAGCAGATCTAACTGCCTCCCAGACTTCGATCTGGGAGGTTTCAGGGTTGGGTGTTCATGGTGTTATCAAGGACTCATAGTTCCCCAGGTTTTGTTCTCTCACACTGTCACTGAAAGTCATTTTCCTCTGTGGAACAGGTAAGGTAGCTGCTGCATTTCTGCCCCAACAGTTGCTTGGGGAACCTAAAACAGTTCTCGGGGAAGGTGGAACATTTTCTGGGACTCCTACCTTCTCCTTCCCTGCCATTCTGCCATTTGAAGGGGGATGAGCTTCTTCCTCAAAAGGTTGCACTAATAAGGCCTTGTCCTCCACCCTCTCTTTCCACTGTAGGAATGTCAGCTCCTGCCTAAGCTAACTGATCTTTGCCTCCTGACAGCCCCCAACGGCTCTGGACACATGGCTCTCCATTGGCAAACCTGTTGATAACAAGGTTCTTTGGAGCTGCTTTTCTGTATCAGCCCTCTCTAAGCATTTCATCTTGGCCTGGTAGATCCTCAGGCCTTATGGATTTTTGCAGACTTTGCCACATAAGTATTCTCACACTCATAGTCATTGTTGTTTTTGGAACACACGGCGATTGTACCTATATATATAGTGATCCATCATCATACCGAGCTCTACATGTCAGAGTTCAGTTAATATGCGGACACACCTCAGTCTGGAAGGCACAGTACAGACAGGTGAGGAAGTGAGGTCTCCCAGTGAGCCCCAGAACGCGCCGCTCCACCATGGCACTCTCGGTGTCCTCATCCTGGAAGAGCACGTCCTTTTTCAGAACCTTCACCGCAAACAGCCTGTCACTGCCCCTCTCTTCGGCTAGCAGCACCTGGGGGTAGCGGGTGGGGGGGTCACGAAGGAATACAAGGGGGGGATGTACAGGGAGAGGCAAAGGAGACATGAAATTTAGGGGTGAGGGAGTCACAGAAATAACAGTCAATTTAAGAGACGAGAAAAACGAGGAAGCTGGAGGTAACTCGTATATGTGTTTCCCATCCTAAGACTGCCAGAAATTTTCAACTACAGATGAATGTTGAGATGTGAGGTTAAGTTCAATGAAAAAGGTGGGGTAGGCAGATTATAAGAACTCTGTACTAAACGTCAGTATCACGCTGCATGTTTAACAGCTGGCGTCGACATCGCTGCTTCCGGACGGACGCGGTTCTGGCGGCAAGAAGCAGGAGCCTACCTTCCCAAAACTGCCTTTGCCAAGCACCATCAGGAAGCTGAAGTCCTGCAGACTGATGCGGCCCTTCCCCATAGAGTGGATGGGTGGACAGGAAGGGGTGGGAGGGGTCAGCGGGGTCAGCGGGGTCGGCAGGAGTACCGGGGGTGTGGGCAGTGGGGGTGGTGGTACAGGAGCAGGTTCCTAAAGAAGAAGTGAGGGACACAGAGGCTTCGAGTGTTTATTAGGGAAAATACAAAGAATACAGAGCAAAATACAAAGGAAATATCATCTTTACTATATTATTAATGAATACATTGTGGCTGTAACAATGTTTAACAGCATTGAAAGGGGGGAGGTGGGGAACCACTATGACAACATAATATTCGTGTTGAGATCATTGGAACACCCCTGCCCTCTAGTGGTCCTACTGAGTAATTAAACCTGTAACCCTACTGTGGATGGACTTGTCCAAAGTTCTTTTATCGAGGCATTAAACTCGACCTGTACCACCTTCATTTACACATCCTTACATTCAGCATTTTGGCTGACATAAACAATTACCCATAATGCCACACAGCGCATCTGTCACAGTCAAAGTGCCCGTGCCGGCATGTCAGTTCACCTGCAGGTCAGGGTCAGGGACGGGGATGTTGTAATATTCTCCCTCCTCCTGGTTGAGCAGCTTGTACCAGCCACTGACTGCACGCCGGAAGATCTCACTGACCCCAAAGGACAGCGCCCCCATGAAGTCGTTCCGGGAAGTGCGGTCCCAGTCCCACACTTCCACGGACAGGCGTCGGTCCCACTGCCGCCCCCGCACCGAGCTGGACCGAAGGTAGGGCTCACACATAAACACAGACACATAAATACAGGGACAGACGAAAGCGTATGACAAAAATACAAAATCCACAACAAAGAAACACATCAAGACACAGCCAGCATGCACATGTACACACACGTACAGGAAGAGTGTTCCCAGGTTACAAGCACTGAAAACTTCCCTTGCGTGATTATGATATGATTATTGAAGATAAGTCTACATCATTTGCACATGCATCCTTATTTCTCACAATACACACACAGACGCACATACATGCACACATGTTTGTATTGTATTCATATCTTTGTGGGGACTGCCCATTCATTTCTATGGGCAAAACCCTGATCCTAACTATGATAACCCTAACCCCTACCCAGCCCTAACCTTAAGTAACTTAAACAAAATGCTAGACTTTGTTTTTTGCTTGCAGTCACAGGTTTTTATAAAAATGAGTTTACCCTTGTGGGGACCGAAACAACATCAAAATACCAGGATCACATTGTGGGGATAACGCACACATACACACACATACACACACACACACACACACTGACAAACATGCCAAGGCCCTGATCGCTCACAAGATGAAGCTCTCATTCCACACGGGGTTGAGGGTGGACCGGATGGTGCGGGTCTTCTGCTTGCTCTGGCTCTTGGGGTCAGGAATCAGCTTCAGCTTGACGTAGGGATCCGACAGCCCATTGGGGTCCATGGGGATCAGGTTACGAGCCTCCCGGACTGTAGGGGGCGGCGCAAAACTGTAAGCGTCTCCCAGCTAAACGTCCCCGTCACCCCATGACACCTGCCTCTTGTTACTGTGTACTGCAGACTCCTGGGTTAATGACCTGCCTGTTAAGCAGGTCCAGTCAGGGCCATGACGGGAGAAGCAATATGATTAAAGCACAGCACAGCAGATGTTTTCGTAGATTTGTATAACATCACACATCATCAGCAGTAATGACAATGGTGGCCAGCAGGGCCAAACAGAACCGGTCGCTATAAAAATGACTCCTCTCCCCCATCTAAAAGAACAGCCACATATGCTCATGGTTTCACATCCTTTCCCAGTCAGCATTGCTCACCAGTAACATGTATCTCCTCTCTCTCGCCACGGATGCTAAGATGGATTCTGCCTCTCTTCTCCGTGTGGTCTTGGCCGCACAGGCTGGGTACACTGTTCTCGCAGCGCTTGTGTACGTTCATGTCACAGCCTGTCAGTGAGAGTGCAGCGACACATGCAAACACAGGCATGAAACAATAGAGGACGATGGGAAACATTATGCAGGTCTGACTGTTTTTAGTGTAATAAAGTTTTGAAAGTCTGTATGGGAAAAAGGACAAAAAGTCCTGACATTTATGTAAGACAAGTGATCATCCATCTAACTGAAGCGTGAATAATAACTAAACCTGACATGATAGGCCTACTTTCAGGTTAATTTTAGACCCTCTAGTTTTGCTCAAGCCTTATGCCAATATTACCCAAGTTGTACTCACTGATGCACCTCATGCCCTGGTGTATGAGGCCGTAGAGCAGCGAGCCGCAGTGGTCGCAGAACGTGGGGCTGGCGTATGTGTGTATTTTGAACTTGTGTTTGCTCTTCAGGTCCTGACAGGGGAAAGGGGTGCAGCACAGGAATGGAGTGTAAGTCACAGGGAGGGAAAGGTGCCGGGACAAATAGTGAAAGAAGTTTCGGAAGAAAAAATTAGGGCGAGGGCTGAGAAAGAGGGGAATGAATCGGGGGATTGGAGAAAGTGCAAGTGCCAGGGAGATGCATGGGTAAGGGGGCATGTTAAGGAAAGGAAAGGATGAGAAGAGAAAGGAAAGGACAGGAAAGAAGAGGAAAGGAATGGATGGGAAGAGAATAGAATGGAAAGGAAAGGAAAGGAAAGGAAAGGATGGGAAGAGAAGGAAAGGAAAGGATAAGATGAGAAGAGAAAGGAAAGGGATAGAAATGAAAGTAAAGGAAAGAATGAGAAGAGAAATGAAAGGGAAGGGAAGAAAGGGATGGGAAGAGAAAGGAAAAAGAATGAAAAAGAAAGGAAATGACAGGATGGGAAGAGAAATGAAAGCACTGGAAAGGAAAGGAAAGGAAAGGAAAGGAAAGGAAAGGAAAGGAAGATAAAAAGGAAAGGAAATGGAAAGAGAAAGGAAAGGAACTATTCACATGGGGCATTTAGAGCAGAGAAGATGAGAGAGGGGGGGAGAGAGAGAGAGGAGAGAGAGCAGTATGGGAAGGAGGAAAGGAAGAAAGGGGGAGAGGTAACAGTAATAGAAACAGATGAATTGAGAGTGTGAGAAAGTGGGGATTAAATAAATGGAAACATCTAAAGCAAGCACAAGCCATGAGAAGCTTGGCGAGTCACACAGCAAGAAGGCTACCTCACCGAACATGACTGAGCGTGATTCCAAGGTTCTGATGTGAGGGACTCACGGCGAAGGCGGCGATTAACACAATCATAATTATCAGGCTCCCACTGATACTGTCCTGCTCTCTATAAATAGAGCCAACACACGTCTCAAGGTAACAGAAGAGGCTGTCTGCACCCCTCTATGTATAACTTCCACAGGTCTATTTACAGTGGATGGCGACGTGTCAGTCTGTCCATACAAATCTCACCATTGATGGGCTGCAATTTAAAGCCCACTATAAAAATGACCAGCAGCACCTGCATGGTGAAATGACTCTGCCTCAAAACATTGATTAAGTCCAATCTATTTTTTAATCTACAGCTCTCTCTGTTTCCCCTGATTCTTGCCCAGGGGGCTACACTATGCGGATCCCCCCCCCCCCCCCCCCCCCCCCCCACCCGCTCCATCAGTCTCCAATCAACTGGGCTTCACATTCACTCCCGCTCCGTCGCTCTGTCACTATGCCTCTCGCTTTCTCCTTGACCTCCTTTCTGTTCCAGTTTATTTAGCATGAGAAGAAAAAATATATATGTACATATAAAAATATATATATACATATATATATTTATGTATATCTCTGGAACGCCTGACAGGGCATGTCAGCAATACCACCCCCCCCCCCCCCCCAGTTCCATCATCAGAAACATGTATTGCTGTCCTATTAGCTAATTGTTCTATATGAGGTAAACAGCTGGGCCCTCATAGCCTAACAAGGAGAGGGGGAGAGAGAGAGAGAGAGAGAGAGAGAGAGATAGAGAGAGAGAGAGAGAGAAAGGGAGAGATAAAGGGACAGAGAAAGGGAGAGAGGAAGAGACAAGGAGAGAGAGAGGGGCCCATACCTCGGCTTTGGGGCCCGTCATGGATCCGGGGCAGGTGAAGGTCACGAACTCGTGACATCGCTTGTGAACCACAAAACCACACACTGATGGGAAGACACAAGGAGATGGGAGGGGGACAGGGGCAGGCATTAATAATTGATTAATTGCATCATTATCAACCTCATTTCTGTCCCTCCTCAAGCAAATAAGCAACAGAAAGACAGCACAGGCTCGGCTCATGATACTATTACTTGAGTTTTACGCATATTCTCATATAAATACCTCAATAAGAAATGCTTTTTTAAATTGTTATTACTATTTGTTGACAGTAATGATAATTCAGTCTGACCATTACGAAGAGCAAACAAGCTTGCAAGAATAATTTAAAAAATGTGAGTAGTATCACTTTCACAGAATAATTACTTGCTTTTACATAAGTGGTGTGAAGTACCTTGACATTGAAAGCCCTGTTTTCCAATGCCCCTGTGAAAAAATGCAGATATTGAGTGTTATGTCTGGAAAGGATTTTCACTCAAAGGAATACGAAAAAAACAGCTTTCCATTATTTTATGCTCATGCCGCAGCCTTTGCTGCACAAAGTCGCCGGATGCTCTTTTATGAACACGCAACAGCTCTTTAGCGCTTGTTATTTACAAATATTCACACCAGAGGTCGCTGTTGAAGCACATGCGACTCGCCGCACGAAATAAAGCGTCGACCTGCACCTACTTTCCCGCGATAAATTTCTCCCTGCTGGAGATACAAACATATGCTCCCATAACTGAGAGCTAATAGTACCAGCTGATAGCAGCGTTTCGGATAATCAGACCACTCTCTCCGCACCAGGCACAACATTACGACAGAAGTGATGCAGAGAAAAGGCCGTGAATTAAAATAATATTTCCATTTAATTAATAAAAAGCAACAAAACAAATGTAATTCATAATTAATCACTGAGTCATTTCCCACAGCCTCCTTGACATTTGCGCAGGTAGACAGCAGAGAACATAGCATTGTTGCAAGAAAAATAGCAATTCATAACACCAGAAATGGGAGGCGGGGGGGGGGAAAAATGCATCACCCCGAAAGGAAGGGGAAGAAACAAATTGTGATGCACAATGATGACCAGATCTAGCCAAACTAACAGTCTGGGATCATTAGAAGCTGTATTTAGAGTATAGGGTGTTATGTTGATGATTTGGGCCTGTGCTTTGGCGGTGGGGGGGGGGAGAGGGGTTACCATATGAAGTCGGTGCAGTGGCTGCAGAAGGTGGGCTGTTTGAAGAAGCGTGCCGTGAACTGGTGGTCCTTCACCTCCACAATCCGCTTGTGCTTCAGGGCGCCCTTCCTCTGGAACACAGGCACCCGGGGCGGCGGGGAGAGCGGAGATGGGAGGGGGGACGCCGAGGGCGAGGGCGAGGGGGATGCCAGAGCCAGGGGGGACAGGGAAGGGGAGGGGGAGACGGGGGTGGACATGTCGGCTGCAGGAGATGGGAGAGGAAGCAGGAAGGGGTGCAGAATGGAGAGAGAAGTAGAGGTAAAGAGGTTACCGGGGACCCGTGAGACCCCATGACACAAAATGACTAGATCAACTCCTAACCTATTTCACACCCCCCCCCCTCGCTTCGCCTAATTCTCCTAAATCTTCCCCCTGCTCTTCCCCTCTGATGTAGCCTTATAATGCTATCTTATCTTAATAATTCCATTTGATATGTAAGTTCATGCAGAATTATTGTGTTTGAATGGACAAAAGCAAAACAGACTTTGCCAAAATAAAAATTAAAAATCTTTTTGGTAGAAAGGTAAAAATATATCTAAAAATGGACAATTGAATATAAGAACATAACCGAAATGCAGACATGGAAAAAACACAACACAGAGGAAATGCATGCAAACACACAAAATGACGAAAAAAAACACTGCTGTTTAAAGCCATAAAAATTTAAATGAATATGACAAATAAATTTTTCCCTGTAGACAGACAATGATGCCGTGCTCAAAACAGTACCTGGATGTACAGTTGAGTGCTGACAACTTGATCAAAGACCAAAGTGATCCTCTTCCTGTAATCCTCTCTCTCTATATATCTTTCTCCCTTTAAATGTCAGCTTGCTTCCTATCGCTGTCGCTAATTTATAAAGAAAGATGAAAAGAAAAAAAGGAAAAACTTGCCAACAAGTAGAAGAAGGAAAAGTATCAGACCGTCGCTTTCCAAGAGTGAACGACGATTCGAAGTAGTTCAGCGTTATTTCCCGTTACCAACAACAAACGATCGGAGGAGAGAGAGAAAAAGTGATATTCTCTTTCCAAGATTGATTCAGTTTTTACCAAGAGAAGAGAGGAACAGATAGAGAGAGAGGGAGGGAGGGAGAGAGAGAGAGACAGAGGGAGGGAGATAGAGAGGAATGGGCAATGATTCATTTAAAATCTGGGTTGCCTCTCTCTAGAGAGGCTGAGCGAGGCAAAAGAAGGGGGACAGAGACAAAAATTGTCATTTAATGTCACCAGAAGCTGGTGTCACATCTTAAACTAGAGGACCTATGTCGGCAAAAGTGACACCTCCTATAGGAACAGTGGGAAGTACCAGGTCAGGAGTCAGGGTATTTTTAAACCTGTTTATGACAGAATTGAAGTAAGACGTCCGTGAATTTTAATTAAAGCCAGCCAAAAAAATGCCTCGCCCCCCCCCAAGAAGTTACTCTGATGCCAGCAATAAAGATAAGATTTAGTAAATCTCTGTCAAGGAGAGCTGCTCAGCTTGCTGCAGCACGGGAGTAAACAGAGGCAGGTGGCGATGGCTTTGGGAGTGTGAAGAGCAGCGGTTAGGGGCCGAGCAGGAGCAGTTCCACAGTGAGCGGGTAGAGGAGGAGATCCACTAACACTGATGCTGGGAGAGGTGATGTGAAGGAACAGTCAGCTGTACTTAGGTGGGACGTGAGTGCTGACAGATTCTGCCAGAGGCAGAGCAGGAGAGGGAGGAGGAGAGTGAGAGGGAGCAGGAGAGAGGGAACAGGAGTAGGACAGAGATAAGGAGAGGTCGAAGTAGAGGGAGCAGTGAGGGACAGAGAGCAGGGGAATGAGCAGGAGAGGGAGCAGGAAAGAGACAGAGGGAACAGAAAAGGGAGCAGGAAAGGGAGAGCAGGAGAGGGAGAGAGAACAGGAGAATGTGCAGGAGAGGGAGAGGGAGAAGGAACGGGAGCAGGAGAGAGAGGGAGCAGAAGAGGGAGCAGGAGAGGGACAGAGTGCAAGAGAGGGAGGAGGACAGTGAGAGGGAGCAGGAGAGAGGGAGCAGGAGCAAGACAGAGGTAAGGAGAGGGAGAGGGAGCAGGCGAGGGACAGAGAGCAGGAGAATGAGCAGGAGAGGGAGAGAGGGAAGAGAAAAGGGAGCAGGAGAGGGAGGGAGCAGAATAGAGAGCAGAAGTGAGACAGAGATCAGGAGAGGGAGCAGAAGAAAGAGGGAGCAGGAGAGAGAGGGAGCAGGAGAGGGAGCGAGAACAGGAGAATGTTCAGGAGAGGGAGCAGAAGAAAGAGGGAGCAGGAGAGGGACAAAGCAGGAGAGACTGAGGGAGCAGGAGAGAGAGGAAGCAGGAGTGAGAGAGAGAAAGAGCGGGAGGGAGCAGGAGAGGGACAGAGAGCAGGAAATAGTGAGGGAGCAGGAGAGGGGGAGCAAGAGAGGGAGGGAGAGGGAGCTGGAGAGGGGGAGCAGGAATGGGAGGGCGAGTGAGCCAAAGACTGAGGGAGGGAGCGAGAGAGATAGAGAGGGCTGAAGGTCTAATTAATGAAAATGTAGGTTATTAGTCTCTTGATGAAGACACGGTGAGAGAATTAATTAACAATTATAATTAGCAAGATTGTTAGAGAGCAAAATGGTGTCACTGAGTGAACGTGTACAACCACGTGTGCGTATGTGCGTGTGGGTGCCTGTTTTCAGCTCGTGGTGTACCATCCACCTTGATGGCAGGCAACACGCACGTCAAAAATGCCCTCAGTGACTCCAGACACATGTGTGATGCAGGGTGAGTGTCGGCAGCTCACTAATGTGTTTCTCTGCATCACACCACCTCTCCATATTCACACCTGGACCAGAGTTTTTACACAACAGATGATCCACGGGCCAGACAGAGACGGTTGTCATGACGCCATCAGAGAATACCACCCTCCAAAAGAACATCCTTTTCACAGTTTTCCTTCCATTTTCCACAGTATATCCACAGCATAAGAATGTTTACAAGGTGATTTCACTTTAGTAGATACATGGCATGCTTTTATTACAGACTAATCTAAAAATGTATTAATGACACTGAAAATATGTAGATATGTGACCAAATTTAACTTAGCTTGGCACAGAGCTTAATATAATTAATATATCTAAAAGTATATGGATTCCTTAGACATATTTTGTGTTCAAGCAACTTATGTATTATTAGTTGATGGGAACCAATCGCTGACAGTTTTCCTTGAAAAAAAGACTTGGCCGTATAAACTGTTGACACTACATAGGGCTTTCAGCCATTACAATTAAATTCAACTGAATTTATTTTTTGTATAGCGCATTTTCACAGTAATAAATTGTATCAAAGGGCTTCACATTACCCCTGCCCAATGGCCCCCAGTGAGCAAGCCACAGGCAACAGTGGCAAAGAAAAATTCCCTAGGAAAAAACCTTGGGAGCAACCAGACTCAAATGGGGGGGGGAGGGGGGGGCAGACCGACCTGTGTCCGTGCTCTCCAGTGTCTATGACAGCAGGCCTTGAATGGGGTGGGGGGGGGAGAGACATCGGCCAGAACAGCAGCACAGCCCGAATCCCATGGCCCGGCAGGGGGTCGAGTTTGTATACATGTGCGCCGAAGGCAGGCCTCGCTATCTGACTCTGAGCAGCCGCGTATGTAAGTATACACGCTAAGGGGAGGGTCCATTCCTACCAGTGACCCCCTCCGACGTTTAGCACCCGGCAAGCACAGGCAGGCCGAGAGTGGGAGTGCAGGCGCCCAGGAGACAGGCGGCACCCTGCTGCTCATGTCCGAGTGTCAGAGACCAAAAAGACGCCTTATTTCACCCTTAAAAGAATGTCAGTCCTTTTAAGGTGAATTGCTGAACATTTAAAGAACGACGAGAGAACCAGACATGGACGTACATACCTCCACACATTCACACACACACACACACACACACGCACACACAGATATGCAGAACACTCAAGCGGGGAAAGCGAGGTCAGAAAAAACAGCAGGCGTGAATTATTTAAAGATAGTCAGACTTTATGAAGCAATTCTCAGAAAGTAAGTTCAGCACTGCCCCCCCCCCCCAGCCAACCCCCACCCGAGACAATGTAGAAATGAGCTGACTAATATCTGGGGATGGACCAGTCTGGACTGTACGGTACAAAGACCCCCAGGTCTCCAGACAGTGGCGGCTCGTACATCAAGACCATCATCCAATTAACATGGGTGCCAGCACTGTAAATTAGACCCAAGACCCAGTCCTCCAGTCTCCGGGCCCTTCTGCAGTACAGCACGCACAGTTAACATGACAGGATGACTGGGGTAGCCGTTATGCTGTTTGACACATTGGTTAACATGCGTCTCGTGCATGAAAGCATGGGATTGGCGCAATGTAACTAAGATGCTTACTTTGGCCTCTCCTGGTCTTCCTGAAGCACGTCATAGCACCTACAGACCTGCCTCTCAGGCCTGAGAGAGTGCTGCATGTGAGCTGGTGAGCCAATGTTGTACTTCCTAGGTCAAAGTTGAAAGACCACAATATTGTGATATAATCTGACCTATGGATTGGATTCATTTTCAGCCATTTCACGCCTTCACCAGCGCATGTTGGGTTAAAACGAGCAAACAGCATAAGGGTTACAAACAAAGGGTATAATCGTGAAACAGACAGCCCTCAGAGCGCGACACCGCCCCCCACAGGTAGTGGGCGCTGTCACGCGATATGCAGTGCAGCCGATAGTGAAGCCAGGTGCACATGCATGGAGGGGAGGATGCGTACAGTGACGCAGCCAGCATTGCATGGTGCATGACACTGCAGAGCTTGCGGAGAGGTCCAGAGAGGACGGGGAGGGCGCAGCAGCTAAAGCAGGGGGGAGGCATCCAGTCAGTCCCCTCTCTGAAATGCAGGTGGTTCCACTGACCGCCCTCGCCCCCTATGGGTACAAAGTGGATTCATCCCCAAATAATAGGTTACAAAAAAAGGAAGATTTTTATCAAAACTTTAGGGTGGTTCTGTTTACAGTACAGTAATACGTCTTGCTGTCCCAGAGCTACAGCAATAAGTCCTTCAATAGGGCAACATACGATATCTCACGGCAAGATACAGCACAGTTTGCTACAATGCAATGAGAAGTTATGCTCTTAAAAACATACCCTGTCACGTCCATGCTAGGGCAGGACAGCGCCCCCTGCAGAGCAGAGATGGGGACTGGGGTGGGCTGGGGGAGGGTCCAGGATAAACGCAGTGCTATGGTGTATACCACAGCGTGGGACGGGCTGCTACATTATGATCCCAGATCACACGCGGTGTAATCTAACACTTCGTGGCGCAGCCTGGAGCAAGACAGTACGGTACAGCCCAGACTGCCGCTACAGTGACGTGGTCGTCGAGTATACTTCAATCATATCGTTTAATTACATCGTTAATTAGCCGCCGCGGGCGATCGATCGAGGAGCAAAAAACACAGTATCTACTGGTCTCTGTTATTTTTTTGCTAAGTGAGGGACAGAAGGACAGAGAGAGAGGTTAAAAAGAAGTAAATAGCCAAGAAAAAAATACAATCATACGGTATGTCCACGTTTAAAATGATAAATATAGCATAATCCAATAGACTGATTCATAGGTAACAAACGAAAGATCAATTTATAAGGAAAGAATAACTTAAAAATATAGCCCCTAAAGACGAACCGATAGATTAGGTAGCTTAGTATAGACTGAAAGAAAACCAAATAGTAGATACATAAAGATGGAGAGATAGAGAGTTGAGACTTAGTCATCGTCTTATTTTGTCACAGGCACTAATGTCTTCACAGTCAAATAGGAGGCATTGATATTCAAAAACGGTTTCTTTATCTAGAATTGCTACAAAGCTAAAACGTTTAAAACTAGTTCTCTAACACGTCCTCCAAATATACCAAACTTAATTCATATTTATATTTATATATATATATAGCTATTTATATATATATTTAGTTGTACATATACATCTTTGTGTAGATAAATGAACAAAAATGTGTAACCGATAATCTAATGTAACCATCAGTAAAATATCTAGGTAAAATCACAGTATAACATGGTACATTCTCA